AGTCTGACCTATCCTAGTTTGAATACAATTTTATTTTCTAATAAAATTCTACAATCACCTTTCCAAGAAACCAAATATAATTGTTTAACAATTCTAAGATCTGTGGAAAACAGAAGTATATCCTTGTGTTGGTGGGCAAGGGAGAGGAGAAAGAACAAGAGGAGGAAGAATGACTCAATTCCGCAGTTTTCTGATTTGAACATTTCCCTGGATCTCCACTTCCCTCAGTGACATCCCCCACCGGGATTTCCTCCCAGGCCCAATTCACCTTCGCTCCCTGCCCTCCTGCCCAATTCCACTTTGTCCTCTAACACTCCGACCCCTCTGTGAAAACAGCATTCACTTTCAATGCTTCTAGATATTCATATTATCAGGGTTGGAAGGCCCAAGTTACACTTGACTGCCTTCTCTGTCCTTTTCATCCTATATCCAGTGAGCTCCCAGGTTCTATTAATTTTTTAAAGCTTCCCACATTTACCTTTTTATTTCCAGTTTTCACAGCCATCACAATGTTAACAACTAGCATTTGCCAGCTAATATTTGTCAGAGGCTTCAGAGCCTGGCTCAGAAAGATCACACAGTTTCATACCTAGAGGTTCAGCCCCACCCTGTTCCTGACATAATTCTGACCAGGGCAGAGAATTTATTAATTGATTCCCTTGCAGTCCTTGACCTAGTTTTATTGTGAAAGACCTAGAATCCCAGTGCCTGAAATTAGCCCTAAGGAGCTATAATCCATTGGGGCTGTGGTTTCCCCTTAACAGAGTAACATTTCTACTTTGAATCACTAATTAGCACCACAAGTTCCCCCACAAGAATTGTGGCTCTTTTTTCTGAATGGAGGATTCTGAAATTCTACATAGCTTTTGCCATGGGAATTCTGAATCTTCTTTTCCAGTTGTTGGCTGGGTCCTAGACCTATGCCCTGAGAATTCGGAACTAGGGCACAGCCAGATACTTGACTTTGCGCAGCTACACCATCGAGAAATCCTTGTAGTTACGACCCACTTGCTAGATTTGATCCTTGCACATATCAATACCACCCCTCTTTAGACCTAAGTCATTGATCATTTAGAATGTTGGCCATCTCTCTCAGTGGACTACCCTACAGAAGGATCAATAATCCCATCCTACATGGTCCTAGCTTCCAGCCATTCCTAGCTTCCTACCACATGTTTTAAAGTCAGCCCCTCTGAGTTAGATCATTCTTAATCATTATCTAACTTAATTCACAAAACGATTCACTGATACAGATATCATTATCCTCATTTGACTGATGAGAATTTTAAAACTCAGAGAGATTACACTATAGGAGGTACACAAGGTCACATGGCTAGGCAGTGGCAGAGTTGGAACCCACACTCAGGTCTTCGTATTTTCCAATCTCATATCGTCTTCACTATGTTAGGTTTCCTTTCACCATGTTTCACAAACACTATTGAAAGAGACATAACACAGCTTTTCATCTTTCAAATCATCCCATACATTACCATAAGCATATTCTACCTAAACTTTCACTGTTATAAATTTCATGCTCTAAATTAATCTTCCATGGCTCCTCGACTACTTATGCAAAAAGAGCCATTTCACCACTCAAACATTTGAGGGTCTCCATAATCTGGATCCAACCTACCTACCAATGTTTATCCCCCATATCATTCCACCATCCAAGCCAAACCCCGCTGTGCCTCAGCCACTCAGCCCAGGCTGTTTCTGAAGTTCTGTGTTCCTTGTTTCTAATTAAATCTACTCCAATTTTCAGAGCACAGTTCAGATCCCACCACAAAAAGCCTCCCATGACTTCATATAACCAAACTCATTCCACCTCTCTGTCAACGTTACTCTAGCCATATTGGTATTTTAACACAAACTGCATGACAGGATTCCTTTTTATCACATAGGGTGACTCACTGAAATTTCCCTTTTCCAAATTCCCACACTTTGTAATTCTCGCAGGGCGCCACCATATTCCAAACCTCGAATCGTCATTTTCCAGCCCCTTTAGAATAAAGAATTTGTCTTATATAAGTTTGTGTCCCCTCTTCCAAGCTTAATACCATGCCCTAACATAGTAAGAGCTCAATAAATGAGGAAATGAAAGAATACATTATACAACGGGAAAAGGAGGGTAAAAAAGAGGAAAAGGTTTTCACCAGTACCTCCTTGAGATAATGAATTCTAAACCCTCATATATGCTAATTAAGAGTAGAGGTTAAACCAATAGTACAAAAAATGTTATGTACGTATCATGTTTGCCGGCATAGAAATCTAAAAATTTTGAAATGATAACATTTCCCTCCAAATTAAAATAGAGCATTAAAATGATTTTCCGAATCAAATAAATTTTAGAAAAGGTATTATTAAGTTGTTAATATGTTCATAACAAAGGCCTTTTACAGTCCCTTGTTTTGAAGTCATAAAAGTTAGAACTACTATAGTGTTTCTTCTTTTTCCAAAAAACTATAATGAAGAAAGGCTCCAAAATTAAACTCTTATCCTTGCTGATTAAAAAGTTGATTCTAAACAAACTATGCCTTAACAAAATGTGATGTCTTTTACAATAAGGGGACCAGACCATCTAGGTCACTGGATTTTAGTGGGCAGGGGAAGGGAGGACAAAGAAAACAAGAAAACCATGTTATCACTTTTTCTCAATTAAAGGTTAACTTCAGGGAAATTAATGCACTGACAATTAATAAGGCCAGATGTATTTAAATAACTCCTAGAAGGAAAAATAAATTATCAATCAATTTAGCAAATATTTTGCCTTCAGAGTACCAAACATCTGAAAGATTTAAATTTTCTGATTTCTTCCATTTGCTTAGCTTTGTGTAAATACATTCCACAGTACCATGTTACCCATTAGTTTGGTAAACCATAAAGAACAGAGAGAGATTCTCTTCTCTCAGCTCTTACCCTGAAATACACTATATGTGTTTAAATACCATATATAATTTTTAAAGATATGATGGTACTTTGTAAATATAAAGGGTAATTCAAACTTGAGGCAGAAGTACAGCTTTTGTATATTACCAGAGGTGGTACAATCTCTGCCTTGAAGAGAGATAAAGTGCTTGATTTAGTGCCTTAAATTTCTACAAAGTGGGCAGAAATCCCAAGCTATTATCATGTTGATAGAAATCTCAACCATTAGTGAGATCAACTTTGATTGTAATGCTCCATTTGTCTACCTGCCTACTCTCCCAAGTTACTGCTAGGGTTTCCCCAGAGGCTGGCTTCGCTCAGGATCACTTACAACTCCTTTTGTGACAAAATAGCTGCAGTTTAACTATAATGAGATGATAGCTATACCCATCAGCCCTCTCCAGATGAAATTCAAGAGGCTTTGTTCATAATGTGTGGCTAAAATAACGCAAATTTGTCTAAGTTCATGATAAATCTTTCGACATAACATACTTGAGCTAAAGTCCATCAAGAACTTCAGGCGAGAAACGCTGTAGTTCGAAATTCCATTCTAAAGTTTTCTTATACAAATTTAAAAAGTGAAATTGAACAAATAAATATAATAAAACAATAACAACTTTATCTCCTCCAGTGGTCAACTACTAATTCTTTGAAGGAGATATTTGTAGTCATAACCCACAAAAAGAGAGTTTTCAAAAGCCAATTAGTCACCTGGAGAATTTTGAATTAATCCTTTTATATAGAGAAAAAAAAATTGCAAAGGGGAAAACCCACAGAGGTCTTTTCTCCTTCCCAGTATAAATATAAAAATAATTACAAATTCCCAAGTACAATAAAATTCTATTTAAAATACAATACACTGATTTGTTTTTTACAGGGTCAAATTATCCTCCCTTTTGCATTGTCAATACATTTTCCTATATTGTAAAACAAATCACAGTTGTAGAGTATGTACCTTGAATCCACCTACAAAAGTATTTATTACTTTTTTACATTGAATTTTTTTCCTGAATCTAAACACATATGTAAACTCCTAAAATAATTGAATCTCTGTTCCATTCTGCACTTATATTTGGCCTGTCCACTAATCGTACTGATATGTTTTAGAATCAAATTGTATGTTTTTCCTGAAAAGATCCATTTATTAAGAGGAAAAAAGCCTACATACTACCAAAAGCAACTTCAATAAATCTGTTTCTGAAAAACATGATTTTTAAAAACAAATTTTAAATTCCAGAACCAAATGTTAGAAAAAAACCTGAGATTTTTTTTCCTTCAAGAAATACCCAAAGATTAAAGAAAAAGCTTTGGCTTAGAGAATATATTCTAATTCTAGGTTTTTAATTCTAATAATTCTAATACTTCTATTTTAGGATGTTGTTTACCAAAATATCATAAATATTTAATAGCAACTGCTCCTGGTGCTTCTAGCAAAAGGCAGTAAAACGAAACATAAACCTCAGCTGTGAAAGCCCAGGAGTTTTTGCTTCGCATTTCATCACTCCACTTCCCCATACCCGGTTTAGGATGGCCCGGATTCTAATGATCACCAGAGGCAGCTCAACTGAATTCCAAACAGAAATATTATGAGCTCCAGTGAAACTATTAATCATTAAAATGGAAAGAACAACAATCGCAGTCAAATACTCTGCCACCCCTTGGAGTTGCCTGACTGATAGCTAAGAAATACCATATTTGGAGGAGGAAGCAATCACACATTCCAATCCAAATTTTTATTTTACTCTTCTATAAAGCCTATAAAACTTTCAAGATATCAAGACAGTGAGGAACTCCATGCTCAAAGCGTGCTCTGAGACTGCTTATGAAAATCTTAAACTTGAAATCACAAACCCAGGCTCACAGAGCTCAATTTGCAAGAATTAATACCAAATCTCACTTAACAAACAAAATCCAGATCTTTTACAATTTCCCTGCATTTGCAATACCCAACAGACTTCCTTCTTAACTTCTTTCTTCAAGATAATGACCCACTGAACTGTATATCAAGATTACTTCCTATAGTTTAAAATATATCTAAAATTACGAGCCTTTCCTGACCCCAGAGAAATACTCACAGAATTAATTATTCCTTTAAGAGCTTGAAATCCACCTTTGACAGGGAAAACTTGTTCCTTAGAATCAGCAATTCTTTCGAGCTTTAGAAAAAGGAGGAAATTTTAATTGAGAGGTGGTTGAGACATACAACATTTTATACACTTCATTACATGTCAATTACATTCACCTGAAAAATTACACCAGAGGATTAATTCACTGTCAGGAACTGAAGGTGATGGGACTAGTGTTACTCTAAATGCATCACAAAAAAATAAACTGAGATCAGGCACAGTCCCTTTACACTGGCATCAAGTTTCAATTTCAAAACAGCTCAGAGCTCTACTAGCTGTAAATGTCATGAGACACAGGAGTCTCAGTCACACTCAACCAAATATTTAAATGTAAAATCATTTTGTGAGTGGGAAAAAAATTTAATACATAAACCCTCAAAAATTCATGAAAAAAAATTGGTTCTTTAGGGAAAATTATTAAAGATTTCTCCTACACAGACTTCCCAAATCCCTGAACTCCTGAGTTGAGTTTTCAAACTAAAACATTTGAACAAGACTTGTCATGATAATCTTGTCAGTTGAGTTAAAGAAGAGGAGTATGCATATTGTTTTAACCCAACAGCTTTTCCAATATTAGTTCCTTCAAATGGAATAAATGTTCAAGAAAATTAGAGCTTTGTCTTCAGCTTGATTAGGTAATGAAGCCTGTCAAATTCAGACATTATTAACCCAGAGCTCAAGACATGGGGCCATTTTTATAGAAAATCTTTAATGACTGATTTGAGTCATAATAAGTCATCAGTGAAAAAAATCTGATAAACTCTCCTTAAGACAGTTATGTGATTTAGATTAAAGGCTGCAGATCTGCTGGACTTACTTGAGCTTGTTCAAAGTCAAGGACACCAACACAATAAACTCTAGCCCCAAGGGACCTGGATATTTTTGCCTATTGAGAGAATGAGAGAGGGACAGAGAGAGGAAGACAGAGAGGTGAGTTATTCAAATGTCAGGCTAATACATGCAGAGACATACAGCAAAGTACACTGGGGTGTAAAGAACAGTTTCAGTTCAATACTCACCTCTTTCTCTGCATATGATGGCACCAGACCATCCAGCTTCCCATCTGTCAGAGCAATTATGATACTGGAGGTTTTTAAGCCTCCTGCTTTCTCAATTTGTTCATTTGCCTGAAAATGAAGAATAATTGTCCAACTCATAAGTTAATCTTCACTTTTAACCAGCATGTTCCATCAAGCTGAATTTTAAGTCTGACAAAATCAAAATATTATGAACTGGCTTTTAAAACAGGGTATTTTGTGTTAACTATTGTGATTTGAAATATACATATATTCACATTATAGAGTAGTTAGTGTAGGGTTTAAATGATAAAGATTTTAGCCTTGGCTGACTATAACCACAAAGAAAATGTGGTTCTCTGAATATAGCCATAGAGAAAATGGAAAATTCCATAAAAGGCAAAATGCCAACCAAACTTTTCTTATCACTATGGTAAATGTTTTCTATCTGTCTTATCCCTAGAACAACTAAAAGCATTTTTTTTAATTTTAAGATAAACATGTAATGGGGTCTTTGAGTTTTACTAGAGAGTTATAATTTATTTCATTACAGAGTAAGAAAACATTCTCTCCCATACTCATAAATGTAAAAGAACTTACTAGCTTTAGTCCTTCATGGATGTATGTCTCTCCTACGGGACTAACACGTTTTAAATTGTCCAAGCCTTCACTGATTTTGCCTCTGAAAATAATATAGTATCAAATTAAACAAAAGAAAAATGAAGAAAGATCATCATAAGCATCTCTCAAAAAGCATGGCAGTTTTGCAACTAAAGTTTCTTTAGTAAGAAGGAAAGGAAAGAACATGGGCTTTGAGGGCAGATAGCTCCTCATACTTTTTGTCATTTTAATGAGTATTTAAAAATGTCTGTATGGTAACCATAAAAATGAAAGTACTAACAATGTGAAATGTCTTGAAAAAGCCAGGCATATTCTAGGCATTTTGAGCTGAGGACAGATATCTTCTATCACATTTGTTTTACTAAATGCTGAGGAGTGAAACATTTTCCTGCATTCAAAAAAAACAAGGGTGGAGTAGGTCAACTTAAGTGAAACAGTATTTCTGCAGCACTCACCCCACCCCCCTACAAGTCAGAAATCTTCTGTGTTATCTGCAAATTCCTAAGGCACGTTACTTAACCCTTACTTATGGAAATTAACATTTCCTATATTTGTCTCCCAAAGTCTCATGATCTAGTCACTTCTGTGGCTTCTTCTCACCCATCCAGGCACCAGCTCATTCTCTTGAATATGGTAGGTACTTAATACATATTTGATGAACAAATGAAAGAATAAATGATTGGATGGATGAATGGATGGATGATAATGGTTCTTGACAGAGACAATATAAATGAAAAAGAGGAAAAATCATAGAATAATCTTTCTCATCATGACTAATTAGCTGTCTCAATGGAGTATGTATAAACAAAGTATGACTACAATATTAACAGCTATTTTGTGTGTATAAGTAAAAGACTCATTTTTCAGGTTTTTTAAATATAGAGTCCAGACACCCCTTTGAAAATAAATCACAAGAATCTTAAGACACAAATACAAGTGGTGCAAAAACAATCCAAAATAAAGTCAAGTTTTCTTTTTAAAATTAAAAGATCCGGAGAGATCTGAAAAATATTATTTTCAGAATTTTAGCCTTTAAATAGAAGCAAAAAAATATCTTTCTAAATAAAAAAGTCATGATATGGTAAACTGAAGTATAATGCTTTAAATAAAACATGAAGAGCATCCACAGTCCTGAGGATGATAGATTAAAAAATTAACTGTAAAAAGTATATTATCTGAACATCAAGGAACTTACTGGGGTCACACACAAAATTTTATATACATATATATATTTGTGTGTGTATATACATACATAAGTATATCATACACATATGTGTATGATATGTATACATCATACACTATTAAAACAAATGTCAAAAATAGGAAAAAAAATTATTCTGTCATCTGCAATGTTGTGTTTCCAATACTTGAAATAAATGAGTCATTCACCAGAGCCGCATTCACATTTTTAAAGTAACTTATTGATTCTATTTTAATATTGTAATGAAAATTATTATCAGACAAGTTCTCCATCTCAAGAAGTTTCCAGATAACACAAGACAACTTTCAAAGTATAATCCTAATCTTCCTCCTTCCTAATTCAGTCATCTCTACCAACCCATGTTGATTGCCTCTTTTAATCCTTGGTTTAAGATCTACCTACTCTGAACCTATCTCTAACTTCAATGTACTCTTTTTTCTAAGGTGCCGCAAACATATTCATGTTCAACTTTTAGTACATTGAATAATTCTGTTTCTTAAAAACATTCTACTTAAAAATAATTTAACGAATTTAATTTAATTTTTTTACTTCTTAACCAGACTGGAAGTTTACAGTGGACTATCACCACGTCTATTATTTTTAATGTATCCCCCAACTCTGCACTAACTGCTTATTATGATGCCTTTTACAAAGTAAGTGTTCAATAACTTTTTCAATCTACCATAGGAAAAAAATTCATAATTCCACAGATGATGGAGTAAATTACATAATTTATAAACTTGTTTTATCTAAATATTTATGTTTTAATATCTACAGAAACAACTTGAAACTGATTCTGTCTGAATGCAGATAAAGACCAAATATTTGGTACTTCACAAAACTGAGTGGCAGCATGTCCTCAAGCATTAATGTTTGCTGCCAAAAGAGAAATGAAAAAGACAACTGAAATCCAAGTTTACGCAAACAAATTTTGCATGGTAAAAGTCACCTTCTCCATTCAGTTCAGATTCAGCTCATCATTACTTCTGAGGACCAGACAACACCAGCAGAAGACTCTAAGCTGAAAGAACTTGCCAAATGTGGGATTCAGAGTGTTTGGGAAGGTAGGTCTCTGCCAGCTCATTTCACTGGAGGAAGCAGAGCACCTCTTGCTTTTCTATGTGTACCCATACCTGCCACCATAATATTCTAAGCTGCTCTGAATTGCATCATTACTTTTACAGCTGCAGAGTCATAAGAGGAAAAGTGTTCCTTGCCCATAGCCAATAATGTCAACATACGTTGAGTCCTGGTCTGTCACTTTCCAGAGTAACTACATAATCTGTCAGCCTCTCCTCCATCAACAAGTGTCACCAAATGGGAAATGGAAACTGAAACAAGATAGGGTCTTTGAAGGATCCCAAGAAACTAAAAATAAGTTCTAAATTTATTAGTAAATGGTAAACTAAGGGGGAAACAAAATTATGTAGCGGGTGAAAAACACAACTCATCCATCTATACTGAGACTTAAAGAAAACTCTAAGGGAAAGCAAGGGAGAAAATGATAAAAAATAAAAGAAGAAAAAAAATGGGTATGTTAAGGAGATCAGGTCCAATCCAACATCATCTTAGAAGATCAGCTTCACTGAGTCTTATGGCTTCAGCGTTATGTCTTCAGCTACGAGGAACAGCAATATCGAAACTACTTTGGTGTTTGTTGTGAAGCTGTTGTTAAGCGTGCTGCTCAAGACACACAAAGTCCCCTATGAGGTCACACAGCAGAAGTTTCTTTGCCATCCCTGAGTGATCACTATATACTTCCTCCTTTCTGCTAACTACAGCTTTGTAAACTGTTTCTTGCCCTATCAGGAACCCCATGATAAATTTCTTAATCATTCAGAAAATTCTGCTAAGTTCATATGGTTATCATATTGCTACACCCTCTTTTCCAAGATCCTAAATTTTCTTTTTATATGTTATTAATTTTCTGCAATGTTATTATATTCTGTGTAGCTTCAAATACTTTTTGGAAAGAGGCAGAATTTAAACAAATAAAATAGGATATGAAACTTCTGTTTTGCAATTGTTGTTGTTTGTTGTTGCTGAGCATCAGGGGACTAATCAACTCTCTTCTTGACTTTATAAGAGAGAATGAGGCAGGGGGTGGGAGGTGGAGAAAAAAACACAGTGACTCATTTTTTTAATCTATAAAATTAACACTTTCAGCTCTGTTAGTATCTCTCAAGTTTCTCTGCTGAGTAGGGAAAAGAAGAGATAAAAGGGAAGAGGCAGGACAAGAAGACAAGAGAAGGGAAGGGAAGGAAACCACAACTGCCATGCACTGTGCCACATCAAGGGCTTTTCTCCATCCATAGAACACTTGGGACTGCGGAAGGTGTGCATGGTGTCATAACTAAAATAAAGATGTATTTTATAAATAGTGGCATAATAAAATGGTTGGCAGAAAATTCTGACTTGCCCAACTAGCACAATTAAGGCATAATTTTAAGTACCTTCTACTTGTGACTAAAGATATACATTTATAAATATATCTGTATATTTAACCTGAACTTTTCAATGAGCATCATCTTAATTTTCCAGATTTTAAAGCTCTTTCCAGGTTTCAGTCAATCAGTCTACACACATTTGCTGAGCACCTACCACGTGTGAATGCTGTGATCCTACACGGTGATAGGAGAATGACTCATGCTTAGCCCACAGCTACCTTTACACCCATCTCTACAGATGTAGTGTCGTTCTCCCTCTAGCTGGATGCTGGGATCACCTGAAGGGCTTTAAAAAAAAATCTCTTCTGGACTCTAATGGAAGAAATTCTAATCCACTTGGTGTGTGCTGGGGTCAGGGTATTTTTTGGAAATTCCCCATAGTATCCTAATGCGCAGCCAGAATTAGGAACCTCTGATCTAATCTAATTTTAAAACCTTTCCATTTTGTTGGAATGCTCTTTTCCTTACCTATTTTTCCAGTCAGTTCTTCAATCAAAGGAGTTTTGGGGTAACTAGGATAATCTTTTAAACTGTAAAATACAGTTTCTGGAATGATATGGTTTATAGCCAGAGAGAACATGGATTATTTCCAAGCCCAATCTCATTTCCTCATCTATAAGATAAGGATGAAAACACCCACGCCATGGGGTCATTGTGATGATTAAACAGCACATAATAAGTACTGAGTTAGCTGCAGCTACTATGGGGGTTATTGTTGATATTCATCACTCCCCTGTTAGTAGGATTTTGTTCACTCAGTTTACTTTCTTCTTGATTCCAAGGCGAGCGAGCTCAGTAAACTGAGGGTTGAAAATATTTGCTATAGATCCAGAAAGGAGGAGGGGAAAGGAAAAGAGAAAAGAGGAAACAAAGTGTCATACTGAAGTTTTAATAAGGAGAAGGTCTTAGAAAGGAATTACATGGAAAGCTACAGAATGAGATGGGAAGACTCAGGGATTGGAAGTAAATCAGAGATGAACTGAAACTTTGGTTCTGCAACAAATAAATCGTGTAACCGTCTGCACTTATTTAACTTCCTGGATTTCACTTTCCATATCCATAAAATGTAAATAAGAATGGCTGTCCCAGTGGAGTTTTCATTCACTCATTCCATAGAGATTTATTAGATGCCTACTATCATGTTTATAATATAATGTTATTTGGCAGCTTTGAGCATTCAGAAGGTAGTGGGCACCTGTACAGAAGGGCTGTTAGGGGAGATAGACAGGAGAAAGGAAGTGAATAGTGCCCAAAACAAACCCTCTTCATTACAGTTTGTCCTCTGCACTGCTATGTTGCTCTTCTAGAAAACCTATAAATGGTGGCAGGCTGGATTTGAGGTAACAGATGGCACAATGGATAAGACTCCAGGCTCTGGAGCCAGAGAGCTCCAGCCAATTATCTAACCTTTGC